GGCTGAATTGCACAAAACGCATGATCGCACCGGCTAGCCTGGTGCGCGTTGCCATTTATTTTTTTGAAGGGAAGGCGGGGAGAGGGCTGAAAAATACGTTTTTATTAATCAGTCGATTAATGGTTTTTGACAAAAAAAGTGGTAATAGTTTGATATTCGAAATAAGAAGTCTGAATGGATGTGATTACTTTTAAATTTTATGGAAGAAGGGATACCTGCGTCTCCCCCTCCCCCTTTCCCCCGCCCTCCCATTCCAGTTTTCTCCACCCTCCCGTTCTGCCCAGCCTTTTACCAAGTGTAAAATTGAAAAAAAAAAAAATGTATTTTTTGAATGCATTTCAGGCAAGTGATTTGCAAGCGCGATTTGCCACTTTAGAAGCTGAGAAAATTGCCGAGAAAGGAAAGCTGCAAAGCGCTCTATCTGATTTACAGATAGCAAGAAAGGAAGTAAGCAATTTGACAATTAACAGGCTGACAGATGGAAATATAAATTTTAAAAACTGTTCATTTATGATAACTTTGCCGTAGTGTGTTCACTGAGAAAGGTTTTTTTAGATAGAAACATGGAAGGAAAAACACAATCAAGCATTGATTTCGTTGGGCAAATTTGGTCCCGACAAAATGGCCACATTAACGTAAGGCATTTATTTTTTATTTCTCTTAAAACAGTTTTTGATATTTTACCAGAAATACCAAGACCGTTCAAACAGTCGCTGTAGATCTCCCATGTTAGTGATACTACTAGGAAGTTCCCACACATTCGGCACACATATGCCCATGTTGTTCCTACGTTGCAAGCTTTTAGACATTACACCCAAAAGCGCCACGGCTTTTTGCACTATTGGTTTGAATATCTGATGTTAGTGATAATACTTTGCAAGTAAAACCGCAGCTCATATTAGGATTTTTTTTCTAGAGAAAAAATGTCACTTTATAACTTCTCTGCAGTAAATCTGAGTTTTTTCTGAGAGGCAATGAAAATACAGGTCCAATTTCACTAGAAAAATGATTTTCAGTAATGAAATTGAAGCTGTAAAACGAAAACTAAGTATCCTCACTGCGGAACGAGATTCAACAAGAAAGGAGCTGGAGAAAAGCGTTCGAGAAGCGCCTTCCAAGTAAGTTATAATATACTTTTCACATCACTTTTGTATTATGTCCTTTCACTTGACACTGCTTAATCTGAAACTATTTAGCCCCGTACATTAGTAGTTCCGTCCTCTGTTTTCAGGGCAGCATTGGCAGATCTGCAGAAGAAACTTGAGGATAGCGAAACGGAGCGCCTCAAGCAGTCAACCAAATTTGAGCAACTGCGACAGATAGCGCGTCAATACAAGCACAAATCGCAGACACTTGAAAAAGAGCTGGAAACAGCGCAGGCTCAGAAAGACGAAAAATCGGCTGCAGATGACAGTGCTGCTGAAATTGCACGGCTGAAGCAGGAGCTGGTTGCTGCGCATGCGGAAATCGAAAAGCAGAAACAACAGGTGTGCTCTTTTTCGCAGTCCCCTTGTGCTTCAATTTGCGGAATATTCAGGGAAACTCAGCGCGAAATCATGAGTCACACTGCCTAGTCACTTCAATTCCTAGTTGAAAATCGAAATTTTGCTCGTTTTCGAGTCACACTAGCTGACTTTTTAGAGCCGTAAAATGATGTCAAAGCGTTATAGATTATCTACAAAATTGGTATCCTTTGCGATTTTGCGAATTACTAGAAAGCCATGCTGTGTGTTCTTTAGATATGGAGGTTTTATGCCTCTCCACCGCTTGTCTGATTTTCGTTGACACGGATCTGGGGCATACATAGTTTTGTAGTACACAGTTTAATGCTTTGTCGGATTAAAATTTTTTTTCTTTGCTTCTTACATTCTCTCTAATCTTCTGCCACATTCATAGTGACTTTGAAGTCACTGTAATTCTTTTGCTGGAGAAAGTGTGTTTTGTTACATGCGTTTTTTTCTCTATATTTAACGAAAATTGCTGTTCACTTCTCGCTTGAGATGATTGTGTGTGTATGTGTGTGTGTGTGTGTGTGTGTGTGTGTGTGTGTGTGTGTGTGTGTGTTCATTTTGAGGCTGGCATGCTTTGAATTTACCAGTACTGAAATGTTATTTTGCTTGACATTCTGAAGTAGAAAGGGAGCCCGTTCAAAAATACAGGACCTATCCTATTACTTTTTATCCTCTTACCCTAATATCCTATCCTATCCTCTTACTAATACAATGCAAGTCCTGCTAATCCTATGATCCTAATCAAAATCTGGAATAAGATCATGTGATGATATGTAACTCGTTTTTCCTATGCATAGTCTTTATAAATTCACATGGGCTCACGTATGTCATTGTTACTGGCACTGCCCGTCTTCTTATATGTTTCTGTTTTGTCAGCCATTCTTTTTCTTTTATTTCTTTTATTCCAAGTAATCTTTATAATTATCGTCATATCATCGAACTCACCGGAGCAGATACGTCGGTACTTTTGGATTTTTTTAAGCTGAAACTTGTTCGCAGTGTGTAGGGTGTTAACTGAAATTCACCGGCAGTTATCTCCTGCCACTTTTCTGTTTCCGTCTAGCACTTTAAGTAAATCAAGTTTGTTAAGAAACGTATGTTTTTGTCTGTGGCTCGTTCAACTTCGTGGAAATTTTAGAAAACGTTGCCGCGAACAGGCTGGCCAACTGAAGCGATGACAGGAACCACACAATCGAAAACAGCGCCGCTTCTCCACACGCAGCTGAAACAAGTGGAAGAACTCAACCTTCAGAATAAGGTTTGCCTTTTTGCCTAAAATTTGCATTTTTTGTGGATGGAACACACGATTTCCTGGAGATATGTTTTTGCACAAGGAACATTATTTGTTAAAATTAGAAAAAAAAGCGGACTTGGTTTCAGGATTTGTCAAATAAGGTGGAAGAGCTGACGAAAAAATGCGGTGATTTAGAAGGCAAATTAAGTGAATCTGAAATGAAACTCGTTGAATTAAAACAAGAAAACGATACGAAAGGTAATTCTAATTAATCACTGCGGAAGCTTTTTTTTCTATTTATTTTACTTGCATTCCTGAGCGAATTAGTACAGGAGAGAAATTATAAGGAATATTTATTGAGTGGCACTCTCATTTTTACTATGTGAGAAAATGTAAAAAAGTGAGTTGGAGTGTGTGATCCTGAATATAAGTTTTAGCTGGTACAACGCGAAATTTGACTACTAAGTGGATAATTTAGCCATGTGAACGTGGGAGTGCCGAATTAAGTCTTGAAAAGTTTGTTTCGGATTTCCGAAATTTGATACGAATCCCTTGGAGAATGTCAATTTCAAGCAGTTAAAAAATCAAGATTCCATTTTATGCGCAAGGTGTCGGATGAGAAATTCTCTTCAGATAGAGGTATCGATGGAGGCATGAAGTGCCTAGGGCAAGTTTTTTTTCCCCTGCGAGCTAGGCTCCCTCGATTTATGTATTCAGAAGAAAAATCAGTATGCAGCAGTCAGCGTGTTTTATGT